AGTACGGGTTGAGTGTGTTTCTTCATTGAGTAGGTAACATCACTATTTAATAGTGATGTATTACATTTGATTTCAATGATCAGTAAATCAATGCATACAACAAACTATTTTGGGTGTAAACGTTATGTGTGGAAGATCTTGTCTTGGTGTTTAAAAAATGTTTAAAAATATATAACATTTAATATAAATATTAAAAAAAAAATGGAACTAGTCCATGGCCCATGGTCTACCATATAGGTCATAGAAAAATGTATTTTATGAAGCAAAGAAATAATATTTAATTTTAAATTGTATTGGGTTTCAAGTTGGAGACTGCAGAACATTTTGAATTACAAACAAAAAAGATTTTTTTTTAAATAAATGCAAAATGACCGTTATCCCCCCTACTCCGGGAATGCCACCCACTCATATAAAACATATTTTTTTTTGAAATAATGATTCAAACATGACAAATTAATTAAATATAAAATATTGAATATATTATTGATTCAAACTAAAAGTGTTATTCTTAAATAGTTACTGAAAACAAATACCAATAGATAATACTGAGTTGCATCATTGATTATCAACATACATATTATATAATAATATAATATACTCATAGGCGGAAATCCATTCAAATTTCAGGGGAGGGCTAACATTATTAACATCAATGTGAGCGAGGGGGGGGGGGCGACGACACTGACTAGCTTTAACTTTTAAGGACCTAGATTAGGTGTAACTGTAGTGTAAGATGCTGGTGGTGGTAAATTACAAGTACATTAATATTAATAAATAACAACTATTTTGGTTATTATGGATACAACGAAATAGATGTTTTTGTTTATGTTTTTCGACCACAGCATTTTTAACAGATGTTAACCTAAAATGGTTTGGTTGAACCTATCGATATTGATCGCGACGACGGGTCAATGGTTGGTTTACCGGGATATAGTGTCGGCAGCGGAGGCGTTCGCTGGACACGATGAGCTGTACGACAACGGCTACGGCAGCGCAGACAACGACCGATCGGATGTAAGGTACTTCCAAAAACAAATTGACAATATAATGACGGTCTCGTCCATCGGCCGACCGACCGTCGAACACACGCTTGGCGCTGTACCGACAGTTACTACGTCGAGGTCCCGGCTGTCCGCCGGCTTTTTCAAACAGCATCGTCCGAATGCCATCGATAAAAAACACGCCGAGCGCCGCCGCTTCACGCACCGCCCGAAGGACGTTACCGTCGGCCGCGGTGCGGGCGGCTCGAAAAACGTTACTAGCAACGACTACATCGACGACGGCGGTCCAAAGACCACGAAGTCCACTGCCGCCGCCCGAATCCTGTTCGGCACCGAAAATGAGTGCGTGTCAACCAACCCCGGGCGGGCTTGCGTGTGTTACATGACCGACTTTTTGGATCTGATCTGCCAACGTTTGGATGAGGCGGCGGTGTCTGGCGACGACGACGAAGACGAGACGGCCGCTTTACGGTGTCGGTCGTTCAAGCCTGTCCCTGAGGCGTTTGTCATTTATCCCGGTACCGCTGCCGGCGGCGATGTGACGAGTACGGACACGGCCGATGCCGCTGTCGTTCCCACGCACGACTCGGCTGATGTGATGGTTGAGCGAAACGATGGCAAACGCGGTGGCCGCGGCCGAGGTGGTGTCGGTGACAAAAAGGCTGTGGCCCCCACGGGGAAGGAAATAGATTTTGATAAAGTTGTAAGCTACCAACTGGAGAAGTCCTCGGACGGTAAGCAGCAAACACAGACGTAATCTGTGTGTCTGTGTCTTTGTGTGTGTGTGTGTCAGAGAAAGAGAGGGGTACAGTTAGTAGTTACCTAATACCTACATCCTAGGCCAAATGTTTGATAGCATCATCGAATTTTTATTGACTATAATGTTACTTATTAGTATAGGAATTGAAATTTCGGATACAATTATTTCTAACACCTTATCATTTTCATAATACCTAATAATAATATCCGAACATTAATATAGATCATAATTCATAATGTATTATGTTATAGATAATTGTTTATATTAAGATTAATACGAAGGTGTATAAAATTAAGGTGTATGCATGGACGGGGTTTTTTTTTGGGGAGGGGGGGCGCAAAGCCCTTCACTGATCACTTTAATCGACATAAATCTAGCACCCCCATAAATGTGACCCAAATTGCGCCTATTGTTACACACTTACACCTTTACATTAGAAGATATTGTCCCCCCTAGTGATCTATGATCTATCGCAGGGGTCTCCAGACTTTTTTATTCAAGGACCACAAAGAATATCAAATGCTCTTAGCGGGCCAAAAGTTTATTAACACTTATAATTTTTAATTTTATGAAAATATAGGTATACAAATATAAGTTTACTTTAAATCTTTTTATAAAATATTGTCTACAATATACTTAAATATAATTGGTATACATTTAAATGATAATATATACATTGTAATTTTAATATATAATGTAATAATAAAATATTGTATTAATATAATATTTTTAATGAGAGGTATGAAATTGATATTTTTCTGCTAATATTCGATCGAATTGAGGTTGTATGTTGCTAGTTCCAATTTTCAAAATTGACTCCAAGTGTTTGTCAGTCATGGCCGATCTATATTTTGATTTGATGTATTTCATTTTGGAAAAAGTTTGTTCGCACAAATAAGTCGTAGCAAATACATATATATATTCAATTGCAAATTTTTTTAAATTTGGATACTGTGTATCTGGGAGAAATTTATAAAAATCAACTAAAGTCTCTTCACGATGTGTGATTTTCAGTTCATCATTACTTTGTCAATCATTTCCATTTGAAGGATAGGAGGTAACTTCTCAATATCATAACTAAACGGGTTTTGAAAAATATTTATTTCTTCCGATTTTACGTCAAGGTCAGAAAAACGTTGTTTAAATTGTATTTTAAGTTCAGAAATTATTTTTTGAGCGAAGTCGACTGGAAATTGTGTTTTTGATTCTTTGTTATACTTATCACAAGTAGAAAAATGAATAAAACAATTTTTTGAAATTTGCGTTCCAAATAAAATAAGTTTTTGCCTAAATGATTTTATTAATGTGTAAACATCGCAAATAAGAACATCTTTGCCTTGTAATTTTAGGCTGAAGTCGTTCATATATTTTGTGATATCCACTAAAAAAGGTAATTTCCAATCCCATTCACTATCTGTAAATAAAGGCAATGATCGATTCTTATCAATTAGAAATATTTCAATTTCATTTCTTAGTTCAAAAAATCGAGATAGAACTTTTCCGTGCCTAAGCCATTGAACCAGGGATGGAAAACGTTTTTAATTTTTTCGTTTTCGTTTTTGTTTATTGATTTAAAAAATATCGTTTTTGTTTAACGTTTTTAAACGTTTTTGATTATTACGTTTTTGATTAACGTTTTTAAAAACGTTATTTTTCAATATCGTTTTTGATTAACGTTTTTAAAAACGTTATTTTTCCATAGCGTTTTTGATTAACGTTTTTAAAAACGTTATTTACTTATTGTCCAAATACCTAACGTTTTTGATAATTTTTTTTTTTTTTTATATATAATATATTCTTATAGCTACAGTGGCGCCCAAGATATATTTTTCAGGTGTAGCAAGAAAGCATTTTACCCACCCACCCACCCCCTCAAAACTCAAAATTATATTATTTAATACATTTTATCATATTTGTATTGATAATATTAGTAAATATTAAGGTATCAACCAATATAATCTGTGATTAATTATGAACATATTTCAAGTTTATTATTTTTTGTTATTATACCCATCCACCCCTTATTTTCAAGGTGTAGCGACCGCTACACTTAGAAATAGGGTTGGGCGCCACTGTATAGCTAGTAACTATAGCTTATAACTCGTGACTTTTAACTTTTAAGTTATAATAGTACCGCGCAATATAGAAATGCATTTGAAAGTTAAAAATTCAAATTAATTATCCTTAATATTTAAATTTTAAAAGTGCATTGGTAAAGATTAAAAACCCTAATGTAAAGACTTAAGTCTCAAAGACTAAAGTGAAACACTATTTCAGATTTCTAGAGTAAATAATAAAAATAATCCAGTAATAATAACTCAGAAAATTAACATATTGGTAATTGTAAAATACTAAAATATTAAATAAAATAAAAATATAAAATACATCTTTGAATAAAAATAAAAAATCTGCACTTACACATTGAGCAAAAATAATTAAGTAATGTATAATACTATAATTTATTTCCGTTTTACGTTTTTGTTTTCGTTTTTTGTTTTATTTCGTTTTCGTTTTATTAATTGTTTTCATTTTTTGTTTTGTTTCGTTTTCGTTTTATTAATTGTTTTCGTTTTTTGGTTTTTTTGGTTTTCGTTTTATTAATTGTTTTCGTTTTTCATTTTTTTCCGTTTAATAACGTTTTTTAAAAACGTTTTCAAAAACGTTTTCCATCCCTGCATTGAACTGCTGTAAAATACGGTAGATCTGGGTACCTACTCTGTTTCTATTTCTATCAAAAAATCTTGAAACTGACGATGCCTAAGTGCGCGCGAGTGAATAAAATTTACCACGATAACGACTTTTTAAATTACACATATATTTAGATATCTATATTTTATTTACCGTCCTATGGGTGCTGCGGGCCAGTTAAAACTTGTTCGAGGGCCGTAGTTTGGAGACCCCTGATCTATCGTATACTATCACACTATGTAATATATTAATACTTATTAATTTATGTTACACTGGTTAAATATTGTGATCACTGATCAGCATTGTCAAATTATTGTACAGTCATACAAAGCTTATATTTAGCATACAGGAATACTATACAGTTTATCCTTATTATTCTTCCTCATCATTTTCACAACTATAATATTTTAATTTTTTAGAGCCAATAAGGCTTTACTTGTATCTTTGTTTATACCAAACATCTATATTGCTTAGATCACTATGCAGTGCAATACGCTCTGGTCGGAAGCGATGCCAAAGTCAAATGTTTGATCAACGGCAACGGAACAAAAATGAATGCTTTTAAATGGGACTTTAAAAAGGGCAAAAATACAACGAGTAAATATAATATATAAAACTATACAGCACAATTTTGTATCGGTTAAACAATAATTATTCCATACTATACACTTAGTCACTACCTACTTACTAAACTGTAAGTACCTACAAAGTGTGACCTGCAGATTTGTCTGCACATTAGGTGGATTGTCCCGATTTGTATGTATGCTTCCCTCTTTTTAAGTTGTCCCATTTTCACGAAAATGTTTGATGTATACTATATAATATATATATATATTTTATTTTTCAACTAATAGATATTAGATATAATTATTCTTATTATTTCGGTATTCTGGTATTCATTAATAAGTTAATTATTTACTTATATTAGTTAAAATGTCGTACTGTTACAATTATATTTTATGCCTATTAGGTATATTTCAAATATTGTTTTTCTAATATTTGGAATATAAAAATAATTGTATTTAATATAAGTAGGTATATATCGGTAATTATAGGTAGGATCACACTTTTAGGCAAAACAATTGTACAACTATACGTATTGTATTTTTTCCAGATTCTACGATAACCGGCGCAGACACGAATATCTTATTGATATTGGGTTTAGAACCCGGAGACAGCAATAATTACACTTGCATACCAACAATGGATGCTGCTGGAGGCACTAGAAATGGCACTTCCTACAAGCATTACGTTGTAGGTAAATAATATATTAATATACCATAATATCATTAATATTATGTGATATTAAATGATAATAATGGTGATGATTATTATTATACTAATATTAATTAAACGAATGTGTGTCTTCGCAGTTCACATTAACAGTAACTGAGCACATATATTATATTTAGTATCTACTCAAAAAAACAATTTTATTACCTCTAAATTAGGTACATTTTGTTATTTGTTACTATTTTCAGTTTTATAAATAATGTTAACAGGGTGTAATTGTATAACAGAAATAGGTATATTATGATAAAAGTTATTACATAATTATTAGTTATTTACATCAGCTGTCAGATATTTCTGTAACACCCTGCATATTATAATATATACCTATATATTGTTATATTGTTTATTACACAAATAATAATAATAGTAATAATATCTGTACTGATGATTTTTTTAGGCACGGGTATCTAACAAGTTGTTAGTGTGGTACACACCTACCACTATACCAGGGGGTTCAAGGTTTATTATTATACCTAAACTCAGATTTGACTGGTGGGTTGGGTGGGTAAATTATTATTTTCAACACACTAAAGAAAAGTTTACTGTGTGCCACTGCTAACAATAATGAAAAAGTAAAAAACTGTGATTGAAATTCTAATTCCTAATAATGAGTAGGTAGTTAATATTGGTCATTAGTAATGACTAGTCGTACATCGGAGGTGATATAAAAACATTGTAAAAACCCATCATCGTCCGTACTAATAAATTTAGTATTTATAATACTTCGTTTATATACATTTTTAAAGCTGTCAAAAGAGCCATTTACGAGATCCACGGTTTAGCGGTTTACAATACCCTCGGCGGCGGTGGTTGTACGCACGAAATAATCGTTTCTGTGCAAAATCAGTTGCCCATTTCCATACGTACCGAACTATGTCCCGAGGGATCGTCGCAGTACGCGTGCAACGTCATCGTCGAAAAACCCAAGTGTACCGAAGATAAAGTAACTCACTATATAGTTTATTTTATTATATATATCAGTATACGGTAAACCAATATACCAATTAGTCATTATAGGTAGGTCTACCAGGGTCGTCGGGTGCATCCACCAAACATATTTCTGGGGCTTGGAGAATTAATTGCCCTTATGCCCTTGTGTACGTAACTGAGAGGGAAATAATGTACCTTATTTTACAATCCAAATATTCAATATAAAATATTATGACAGTACTTTTATAGCCACCCGGGAAAAAAAATCATAATATTAATATATTGTTTTTATTTCATCACTTTTTAGTTTTTATATTATCTATATGATTTTATTTATCATAACCATACGATTATAATTATATGCCTACCCTTTCAAATTAAATATAAGTACACTCAATGAACAATTACTGCGTATTATAAATACATACAGTGGCGTAACTAGTAGTGATATACCACCCACAATAAAACAGGTAGTTAATAAATTATATTATTTTTATAAATTAATGATAACATGTTACTATGGTACTACGCTACACCTACGGGCTATAACACCCCCTTCCTCGCAATCTAGAACCTAGATCCTTATACAATATTCATAAATATTTTTAAATATTAATATTATTGAACAAGTTTTGTAATTTTGAAATAGAGAACAATGGAAATAAAATATTTGGTAACATTGAACGATAAGGCCAATTATTTGGCTCGGATCAGAACTAGCAAGAAGGGTCGAGTCGCTCTGCGCTACCAAAAACTATTAGCGAGAATATCCAAAGTCTTAGCTTCAAACCTTAACAAAACGTTGACAGTTCAAAGTGAATATGCACTCACATACACACCCGGGCAGAAGTAGAATATTATTCGGAGTATTTAGATTCAAAAAAATCAAATTTGAGACCAAGTTGTTTATTAGTTATAACTTTAAAGTACCTATTTGATAAGTTCAGATGAGTGGAATAGTGTACAGCCGTACCTGTACCACTATATTCCGCTCATTAAACATTTAAATACTTATAACTTATAATTCATAAACTAAAATTTGACTTTTATGTAAGGGTACCCGGGGTACTTACTTAAAAAATATTCTGCTTTGAAATTGTGAAGAAAAGTGTAGAAATTAAAAAAAGATAATTATGAAAAATAGTAAAAATTAAATTTTTTAACTTAAAATTATATAAAAAAATATTTTTAAAAACGTTAATAGTTATTGAAATAATATGAGTGTTTTGAGTTAAATTAACCAACCGGTATATAAAAATGACACATTCGATTTTGAAGTCCTATGTGCTGTGTTCTATACGTTTTTAATTAAATCTGTTCACTTGTTATGTGTACTCACATAGGTATTTTCTGTTTTTCAGTAATGTCCAAGTTGTCGTTGATCGACACACAATTTGAACCAGACTACAGCCAAATGAATATAAAACAAATTGTCTTCTGTGCGCCAGGTTTTGGTATTCGGGAGGTGTTCTGCGCTGCTTGTCCGCCGCACCATTACAGTCCGGATAAATCGATTGAATGTTTGAAATGCCCCAAGGGTTTCCATCAGCCGGTTGCAGGATCGGAGAAGTGCGTCAAGTGTCGAAATATTTTTTCCAATGGCTGTTATATGGTAATATTATACTGAACTAGGTATCCAATCAATAATCATGTGTTCACTCCTCACGAAAATCTGTATTTTAATTTAATATGTTGATTTTTTAACACACACATGATCATTTAAAATATAAAATATTAGTATAAAAACAATTTTGTATTTATATTTTATTAATTATAATATTAACTAAAATCAGTTACTATTAATATTAATAACAATTACTAATTAGTAAATATGGGTAATATACATATTATTATGATAGATATTGAAAAAATTGTCGTATGGAGGATATATCCCCCTCCCCACTATATAACAAACCCCAACGGCTATTTTGAAATAAAAATAGGAATACTAGGACGCATTTTTAATGAAATGCTTAATTATTATTTAAAATATTTTAATGTTGCACAATCACTTTGTGCCTAAATGTGTTCTTAACGTCGACTCAATTAGCTTGCCCACGGCCCACTTTTGACCCCAGTATGCATATGATAGGATACAGCTATTTGTATTTAGATTTTAGATTATCTAAAGTGGTACATCGCACATTCATATTAAATATTAATATAAATATATGTATATATATATATACATACAAATATTAATATAAATATGTATATATATATATATACGTACGATGTCATAATATTATATTCATGGGTGCCCACAGGGGGGTGCTGGGTGCCATGCCCCCTCGATTTTAGTTATAGTAATATTAATTGTTTTATTCCTTGTAAAAACAAACAATTGTACGTCTTGTGCTATACTGTTATCAGAGATTTTTGAATTTGCCCCCCCCCCTGGTTTATATTACTGCAGATGCCCTTGATTATATATTGTCATACTATATAACATCTATTTGTGTTTGCAGAAAGAAGTTTCACCAACAGTTTATTGGTTTGTGGGTTTATTAATTATATCAATATGTTCAGTCCTCGTGATTTCCTGTGCATGCTGTTGCCGTGAAGAGAACGAAAAAAGTAAGCATATATAATTACATTATTGTCTGTGTGCATACATCAAAAATGGTAGGTAATTTAAAGATAGAACAAGTCATGTATTAGGCATACCATAGGCAGTCAACAGTATACTATTATCAGTGGCGTGCTCGGTGTTTTTCAAAGCCCCCCCTCTTATAAATTATTATAAGTATATATATTTGTAGGTATATAAATTGTTAACTATTCTCAGACCTCTTTATGTATAGCAATTAGTAGTAAATATGCATTCATTGCTTTATTATATATTTTGTATGAGAAAAATAAGCTTAAGGGGGAGGGGACACCTTTATCCCACCTTAAGAGCTATTATAGTCAGCATTTAAGTATAAAAGTGAATTACTTTATAATAAAATAAAATTATTCTACAGTTTTTGAAATTCTACACAGAGTATGTGATATGTCTCCAGTCCCCAATTTATCATCTCCCTATATAAAGCCACAAAGGGTGCCTATGATTGTGGCTTGGTAATGATTTTAAAAGGCCTACGAAAATGTGGAAACCAACAATAAAAAACTGAAATGACGCCCCTGCAGTAGTAACTATAGTAGGTAAAATATGATTTGAGGATGTGGTAAAAATTAAAAGCTAGGTATTATACTATCTATTACCTATACAATATTATATTATATGCGCTAAGCCTTATAGCAGTATACTTTACTTTTTCTCTAATATAGTGATATGTATTATATATAGCAGTATAGGTACATATATTACCATCATTTTTGGTGTATATATGGTAAAGCTTACAAGGACTATTAACAAAGCAGCCCCAGTCCACCCATAATTAAAAATTTAGTCTAGTTTTTATTGGTTAGTCTAATTTAGTCTAGAACACGCCACTCACGATATTTTTACCACCCCAAAAACAATAAAAATTCGTATTTTTAGTCAAATATAATTATTATATGATTGATAAACCATTCAAATTGTCATTACATATTTCAGACATAAAAATATTACCAAGGAAAATAAGGAAAAAATTTAAAAGAACTAAAAAGAACAGTATGCCGTCTCCCCCCCAAACGGAGGAAACATCAGGCAATAGTAGTGTTATAAGCAAAGGTTATGGTAAATTAAAAAACCATTTATTAAAGTTTAAAAAAAAATCTAAACCTAAAATAGTCGATTCAAAAATACCATTCAATAACGTACACGAAAAATATGGTCAACGGATTCAGGATGATAACCTTACCGAAGAAAATACGACTGATTAATTTCTTATTTTTGTAAAAATTGTACATAATTATTTGATTTCTTATTCTTACTATGGTAATATATAAAACTTTTTTTTTCTTCATAATATAGTATAATTATATTTTCAATCGTCTATTTATTATTTACACATATCCATCGACCATCTGATTTCGAAACATAATATTAAATATAATATAGATATACAGGGTGTATCTTATGTCATTGTACGCGGGGTTTTTTGACGATTACGGAACGATGATATGGAATTTTGTTAGAACGAAAAAAGACGTGTTTCTTTATTTTTAACAAGCAATTGTTTTATAACAATTTCAAAATTTTTAAACACGCAGGTGTACCAATAGCAAAATCAACTTTTTTTTTTCAAATGGTAACCACTATATTTTTTAATGGATTCTGGTAAAGCTTTTTTTTCTGAACATTTTGGTAGTCGAATCGTCAATTTTGGTTCGCTAGTTTATTAACTATGGTCCTCCAAAGATTAGTAAAATATACATTAATAGGTACTTTTAATTAAAATAATGGGTATAGGTTTAATTTACAAGCGCTAAACATTTTTTTCTTATAACTACCATTTGATACACTACAATAGTTGAATCGGTAATCTAATGACACCCTCAAAAAAAAAAAAAAAAAAAATAACAAACATAATTGTTTGTAAACATACTTCATTATTTTAATTTTAACATACGATCATAAAAATTATCAATATTATTATTTTAAATTATTATTATAATCGTAATTAATTACTTTAAATTTTTTTCATCACAGTTACTTTTCTTACAATATCATAAATTTGAATTCTTAATTAGGGAGGTGGCTAAGGTAATAATGGTAAATTGGTAAATGGTATTCGATTGTTGACATTAATATGTGCAACGAAAAAACTTGTGGTGCTCTTTTCGTAGTGGTATAAAGTATAAACTTGATATTTTAACCATAGATTCCCTATAATGGTATCGCATCCAAAGTATGAACTTAGGAGTAGTAATTCATCCCTTTCTATCCTTTTTAGTTTTGGATATTAAAATAATAATATTGATTTTATATGATCGTATGTTAAAATAAAAATAATGAAGTATGTTTACAAACAATTATGTTTGTTATTTTTTTTTTTTTTTTTTGAGGGTGTCATTAGATTACCGATTCAACTATTGTAGTGTATCAAATGGTAGTTATAAGAAAAAATTGTTTAGCGCTTGTAAATTAAACCTATACCCATTATTTTAATTAAAAGTACCTATTAATGTATATTTTACTAATCTTTGGAGGACCATAGTTAATAAACTAGCGAACCAAAATTGACGATTCGACTACCAAAATGTTCAGAAAAAAAAGCTTTACCAGAATCCATTAAAAAATATAGTGGTTACCATTTGAAAAAAAAAAGTTGATTTTGCTATTGGTACACCTGCGTGTTTAAAAATTTTGAAATTGTTATAAAACAATTGCTTGTTAAAAATAAAGAAACACGTCTTTTTTCGTTCTAACAAAATTCCATATCATCGTTCCGTAATCGTCAAAAAACCCCGCGTACAATGACATAAGATACACCCTGTATATAGTTTAGTTTAAATATATTCTAGTATATTTTTAACAGATCGTTAAAACCGGAGGTAAAATTTATCGGCAGGGGGATAAAAATATCCTAGGTTTATTTTACTCCCGGGGGTAAAAATATTTGAGGGTATTAGAAACCTGCGACACCTGGCCAGTACAGCTAGTAGGTACTATAATTAGGTAGGTAGGCAGGTCGCTCAATGTAATCGCCCTAGCTGGCAAAATCGCTAGTGTGCCAGAAAGTAGTGACTGGTAGCGAGAGAGCGAATTTAATCGCTCAATGTAATGTACAGGTCGCTCTACACGCTCACACACGTGCGACTTTGCTCGCCAATTGCAAATTCAGTGTAATCGACCTTTTAGGCGTGTACCCTCCCGCTGACAGTTGCAGACCGGTATTTCCACGGCCCTGCGTACCTACCTATTTCATATTTGTCCTTATTAGTTTTTAAATCAATGTTATTAGTTCATACTTATCTCGATTAAAAATAAAATTGTTTTATTTTATTCGCATACCTAATATTACACATTTCCTGTAAAATATTATTTTGTACCTAGTTTTGACTTTTGTTTTAAAGTCCATTTTCAATTTTCAATTTACAAATTTAAAACCTTAAAAATACGCCCACGAAATTATACGGATAAATCACCGACTTCCCACCCTAGATCCGGCTCTGACTAAGAAGTCAAAATAGGTAACATGTACTGTTCATACAATTAATATAATATGTATTACAATTACAGAGAATGAAAATAAAAATAAACTTTTAACTACTAAAAGTCATCAAATTGTCAAGTAATTTAATTAATTGATTTTTTCTTAATACATTAATCGGTACCTATACCTAACCTACATCAATTAAAGTTATATTACTTTAACAAATTTCTTGAATACCAGGTTTGCTAAGGTAGTAAATATTAATTTATAGTCATGACAATAGTGATATTTGATAATAACATCAAAAAACAGTCAGAACTCGAGGCATATTCTAGTTTCCTAAAATTGTTACTCTCACTCTGGCACGCACATGTCAATACATCGCGAAATTTAAATATATCCTTGTTTGCATGACTATAAAACTACTAAAAGCGGTAGTAAATTAATCATACTTCCCGAAGTTCGATTGTAATTTCGAAAAAAATTGATGAATTTATAAACTTTTAGACTATATGCTTCTTAGGAATCACTTTTTTTTATTTAAAATCAGATGTGCCCAAAATAAATACAAATGTAATGCAATTATTTCATGGGATATCTAAAAAAAAAATGGTTATTTAAAGGTCATTTTAAATTTAAAATTGAAAATCGACTTCATAAGAAACTTAGATATTTTATCAATGAATTCAAACATGTATAAAAAATTTAAAACGGACATTCCAAAGTATGTGTAATTTACCACAAAAAGCAAATCCGCGGAGATCGATATTACACATATCATTCTTTCCATGATATAGCAGTGTTTTTCGTTTTGTCGATGTAGGTACCCTGTTGATACATTTTTTTTTTTAGTCAAAAAGCTTGATAATTTAATACGAACTTAATCGTGAGATTTTACACTGGTTAAAAAAAAACCATAAGTATACTTGAACATGGGCGTAACTAGGATTTAATAGCTACAGGGGCTAGAGTCCTAGAAAACCCAAGTCCAAGATAATTTGTGGGGGGCTTTGCCCCCCACACCCCCCCCCCTCCAAGCATCCCTAGCATTTAGTAATCACAAGTCCTCTAAAATCAAAATTTAAAATAAACCATAGAATCAAAGTATAACCTAGTCAATAAAAACAAATTTACATTATAATTTATAACTGTATACGCCTATATTTTGATGAAAACAGTTTTAAAATATCATCATCGTTTATTACATTAGATAGTTCTCTTTCTATATTAAGTATAGCCAGATCACTAAATCTGTTTTGGGTCATAGTTGACCTAATGTATGACTTAATTCTCCTCAATTGTTTGTATATCTGGTAAGACTTTCATTGATGATTGGTTTTTTGGTGCATCATTATTATTTTTCTTAGCACTACTTGCTTTTGATTCAAATATGCTGAACATTTTAATAAATAGGTAATGGGTAAATTCAATAAATTTAACATATACGCAAAAAAAAAATAGTTGTTACTGAGACACTGTCTAGTACACTAATTATACCAGTAAATAGTAATACCTATTCGCAGTCTGCACAGACGCATGTCGCATAGAAAATATTATATAATAGTACTATAATCACTAACCAGTAACTGCTGTACGATATAACTAATATGACTATACAAAAAGACGCTATACGGGTAGTTACTAGGTACCCGTTAAAGATAACAAATCTAATAAGTGGGTTTTGGTCTTCGGGACATACAATACAATCCTATAAATAAAATACTTTGTGTAAAACTTTTAACTGATAAACAATCATAATTCATAATAAGTCTCATACCCGCGTCGTACATTCAATAGTTAATGTACCATATTTAGCCATATGTGAACAATACCTAATAATTTATATATTGTGATATGTCATTACTCATTAGTATTTATTGACTCAACACATACGTCAAGACAATTTCTTCCGCTATAACTATAGGTAACCAATTACTTATAAATTTGTTTTTGGTACATCCACAATAAAACAATATCAATATGTATAAAATATTAATTATTAATTATGACTATTATGAGTTTGAGTTTGACATGAGTTATGTTAAACATTTTTTTTCTTTTTTTTTCGGATTTGGGTTTTAGCTACAGGCTCGATTTGAGGCTAAAATGTAAAACCTTCTAGGGGGGCTAAATACAACTGCAGGGGGGCTAAGCCCCCCTAGCCCCCCCCTATTACGCCGATGTACTTGAACTAAATACATAGAATTGCCACAAGCATTGATTAATTTTACACAATAGCGTGTTGACATGTTTATTAATAATATTATCAAATAAAAACCAAATATTATACAACATAATACACAATTTTATTCAAGTTATTTACAATAGACAATTTACATTTTATATACATTATACATAGCATAGCCATAATTTAATTATAATTTAGATTGGTATACATTTTTACAAAACATTCCCCTGTTCGGGGTTAGAATTAGATTATACACCAACTTCAACTCATATCGTTATAGGTGAATAAGGTGCTAGCCGAGGGCAGAGCAGTAACCACTAATATAAATCGGTGATTACCACAGCGGATCTATGACAAACGATCGGAAAGGAGTGATGCAGTTTATATAGTTATATTACGATTATTTGGGCCCCGGATTTTAGACGTCCCCTCCCAAAGAGCTCATGTCGACGCGTTCGTAGCGAGTTCGCAACTCAATTTTTTGTAGTAATAAGTCTAATTAAACGTTGCACCTTTTCACTATATTGTATACAAAATAGTATATTATTATTATTATTATTATTTTTATTGTATACAATTATTATATTGTGACGTTTAGTTAAACTTATTACTACAAAAAAGTGCGGTGCGTCGTGCGAAGTCGCTACGAACGAGGACGGTGAGGGGAGGGGACGTCTAAATTTGGTGCCCAAATTATGTAATATAATACCTTATAAAGTCATCTATACATCTGCGGTGTCAATCGCACCACAACAAGAACATTAGTCCTCACAAATTTCTTGGTCCGGTTCCACAGTGACCAGCGTGGACGTTTAGGCGTGTCCGCGGTTACCGCTGGGTCCGTATCCGTTACCATAAGCCGCAAGTCGGCTTCTACCTTTTGTAACCGTAGCAAAGACGACGAGACTACGGATGACGACGTCTCAATCCCGCTATCTTCTACAGGGGCTGCTGCAGGTGTCATCAACGTAGCAATAGACGTTTCGGTACACGGTGAATCGATAGTAACTGCAGGCAACTCCGCGGACTTAACTAACGGCCATCCAATTTCGGGTGCATCGCCACTGCAATTTGCACCCAAGGCCATATTGGGCAATGACACAGATCTCTTGCAGTGCACCGGCAGACTATGGAAATCGAAGTTTTCCAAAGGTTTCTGTCCATTTTCCCGGATATCGTTGACAGCCGGCAGTATTATATTGGGAGTTGACTTGCACTCGGTCTCTAGTAGTGCTTCAACTGAAGAATTTTCCAGCAAGACCAAGTTAGGACACGACACAGCCCTTTCATGCACCTGAAAACTAGGGAAATCACCGATTTCCGACGGCTTCTGTTTACTTTCCTGGATATTGTTGACAGCAGGTAGGTTAGGCATTGGTCTCCATCCGATTTCTGTTACTTTGGCTGCAGAATTTGTCCACACGGCCATTTTAGGTAAAGACATAAACCGTCTGTGAACCGGCAAGCTATTGAAATCACAACCATCTAACGGTTTCGATCTGTTTGACCGAATAGATCGTCAAACACCATTTGCATAATTTCGTTCTAGGACAGTTTCTGGTTAACTGACGAAGTTGCACTATGTGACATGTTAGTTTTATGATAAACGTTCAATAAACAGATTATAAATTATAAATATATGAAAATACGATTTAACTTTTAGACGAAAGTAGGTAAATTTATTCGTAATGTTCTCAAGACGTAACAAATTAATACTGGTGAGTAATTACTATGACACAGAAACGAATAATAAATTTTCCAAACACTCATGCACTTGGCAACAAGATGTTTGTTGATTTTGTAAAACGAAATTTATCTTTTTTTTTTTATGTTATATGGGAACAAGTGTACAACAATTATTTATTAAATTCTTATTTTTATATTTTAGTTATACTGGTGAGGCACAAAACTATAAGTTTATTTTATTATTTAAATGAAATCTATCATTTTTAGATGTATGTATAATGTATAGTAGGTAGATGGAAAAACCACTGAAAAAAACCAAAATGATAATATAATCAATATTTTTGAGAAATATCTTTTTCCTTTATTCTAAATGTCTTTGTAATAAATTTGACAAAGCTGAACACTAACTAGTTAGTTTTAATTCATATTAATTTAGCTACTTAATTAGTTAAATTTACTGTGTAAAATAATCTAGTCTAACTCGTTAAAAATAATAAGTAGGTAACTAGTTATTTTTGTATCTAGTTTATTTTTTCATTTATTGATTGATTCAATTTCCTATTGGCTATTTTGTTGTATTCTATTATTCTAATGATATTCCAAGAAATTAAGGTTATTATCTACCTATTTGATACATTTTATCAAATTATCAGTTGACAGTTGTTTAATTTCATTTTCATTTATCATCATCACCAATAATTCAAGTTAGTTACTAACTAGTAACTATTTGGTAATTAATTTATATAATGCATAAACGACAACAATCGTAATACCACCTCCTCCAAAAAATAAATAAATAAAAACAAAACAAAGATTTACTCGTATGTAAATTGAGACATTAGTGTGATTAAATCATTTCCCGGAAGCCCGAAGGACTTACATCAGTCCTCGAGTCCGGCAACTGCTGCAGGACGCTGCTATGAAACGGGCGCTCCAGGAAACATCTGTTACTGAAGTTTAAATACAATTTTTAAAAAAACTATAAAATATAAGTTTAATGTGAAACACATTATCGTTCACAAATTCCATACCGTAAGTAGTTTGGGCTTCTGTTGTCTACGCATCAAACCATATTATATAGATACGCAAACTGCACATGTGAGATGTGACTGGACCAATTGCATAATATTAGTGCAGTGGACGTGTGGACTGTGGAAAGAGGTACGAACTCCGTTAACTTTAAATCACGTTGTACTTTAATCATCATGTACTTTTCACTTTTGTGCTATTTGTATAACCTTTTAATATGTCTTTATTGGGCGTCCTGTACATATTTTAATATATAATACACACTATATGTCTATATAATAGGTATGCTATAATATTTTATATTCCTACACAAAAGTGAAAGTCCTAGCAAAACTACGGTCAGTTGATACTAAGCAAAGTAATAAACTATACGACCTGACGAATATAAGTATAATGCATTGAAACGAATCCCTGCTTGCACTGTTGAACCTACAAAATTATCGGTCGAAATGCGATGAGTCTAAAATCTACAAACATAATAATAATAATCGAAGCATTTTTACGGTCTCAAAAGGTGATGACACTATGACAGACACAAATAAAAATAATAAAACAAAAAAAAAAGCCACATCATGTAAAATCAACACATTCATCACTCCGCTTAGAATCTAAAATCACTATGTAAAATAGCCAGTAACCACATAAATGGACAAATAGTGGTGAGCTATAGTACCCAGTGGCGTAGCTAGGTAATGAAATGGGTGGTAGGAGGGGGTTAAGTATAAATTAAACCAAGTTTTTTTTAACAGTTTTCGTATATAAATAATACATTTATTAGGATAAAAATGCAATGGTGGTTGGGATTAAACACCACTCCCCCCCTGGCAACAAACCGGAGGGGCAGGGTAGTCAGCTGCTCTTCCTACAGCAAGCTAAACTTTTTTCAAATATTACATCTTTAATCAAGCGACTGTTTTTAAAAATACAAGGCTAATTATTTTAGGTAACAAAATTTCTACCCCCCTCCCTCCCTAAGACTGAAGTCTGTTAAAGCATATGTACATCGTGCTGAGGACTGAGGTCTGAGGACGATGGCTCGAAATAATAATATGTCGGTTGTGATTGTGACAGTGTGTCTGTATAAGTTTGATATCTGGTATATTTCAAAAAGATTTAAAGTTGCCCCTCCCTCGACAGAGCTTCAGGTACGCCACTATTTACAAGGTGCAGTACTGCTCTAGTGCACTGGGTATAGCTATGCACGCTGATTGTTGAAATTCGAAACGCACAACCTATATAATATCATAATATTCATATCATACAACAACGAACATAATATAAAAATAATAATATTATTATTTATTACTAATTGTTTAATAAATATCGTAAGTAGTATTTATACGTATCTGGTAGACCAATGGTGGTTGTGGCAATGGCAACACTGTTTTTTTCCGGTTCAAAAAGTGGGATATCAAAATGGTGGCGGACGTATTCGTGATAGGTATTTTGTTTTGTTTTTTATTTATGTTTTGATTTTGGTTCGCGAAAATTCAAATTCTTCATTCAGTGTCCGAAACAATGTAACTTCGTCACACGTTGGATTGCCGAATCCTAAAATGACCGCTTCGCCAGTGGCCGAGGCACAGGACGTGTGTGCATCGGATCCAAACTTTGCGGTTATATTTGCTTTCTGCGAACGGTTCGGAGACAGTTGTGGTGTTACTATTCCTACGTTCCAAGAGCTACAAGAAATGTTAGAGAAAACTACCGAAGGTAAACGCGATAATCTATTATGACCATCTATCTTGTGCACACTATTATGTGTTAGCTGACGGTACATATCATATTCGCATGTTCAGACATTATTCAGTATATAGAGTCAAACGCTTGTTGTCGATTGAAACACCAAACTATTCGATCAGATGCTTGATTCTATTAACTTAATCAAGCACTTATACAACTATATCAATGTTTTCCAATAAACATAGATAACTTATTTATTTTAACGTATGTTAACTAAAGGTAGGTTTACTTCTTCTATTGAATTAAACAAGTTAGTGTAAACAACAAATGCAGATAATGTTAGGTATAATATATTTGTGTAACTACCTAATTTAATAACAAAAACATCCGTGTTATTATTAATATTGGCATTTGTTGTTAGCTATTACACAATTTTTATTATCTAAGTATATAAATATATTATGTACATAATACACATACAAGATATACATAAATATTGATATTTACAATATAAATTTGAACTTTAAGGTGATCAACTTTAGTATATTATTGCTTTTTTTAAGTATATTTATTTGCCTATTTTTGTGTTGATTCATACAATTTGTCAATATTACTATTTTATATTATTATTATTGATATTGGATAATATTTTATTAATTCTTATGACTTATGAATATTAATTTATTGCATTTAAAAAAATGTTCCTATGTTTATATTTTTCCAAAACAAGAAAATATATATAAAATCACAGTTTGATTAGTATGATAAGATAATTTGTTATCAGTTTTAATTTTAAAATTAATTTATAAATTATAAATTATTTTGGATAGTAGATATTTTATATATAGAAATAAAATGTATTATAAAATTAGTAATTCAGCGGACTTAACAAGGTTCTTATTTAAATGCAGTTTCAGATGATATTTTAAAATTTTTTTTGTTACTTAACATAGAGACCGCTCACAGTTAGCTTATAAATAAAGAATCGGAATTGTACAAATTATTATTGATAATCAAGTTATTAAATAATAAAAAAAAATATTATTCAGATAAAGTTATTACTTCAATAATCTAATTTGCTGTTAGATCAACTCAAATACAAATTACTTCCTTTTAATTTAGTATCAGTTTGGTTTATTAATATTTAATTCAATTAATTTGAGTTAAGTAATAGATTTCAATTTACTGTTTTAAAAATAAATTACTTAGCAGTGTTGTTTTTAGTTCCAGATGCATTAGTTGATTTACATATAAAGTTATTGCGCAGAGTCAAAAAAAGTGTGCATGCAGAAAAATGGGAAAGAGCAGTTTTAAAATTCTGTCAAGAATATTCTATACCAGAATTTTGGGAATTAGAACACTATGGATACAAAGGAATTTCTGTAAAACTAAAATTAAGGATTTTAAAAGTAATATAGTACACCTAACTTTTATGCAATGATAATGTTAACATAATTTTTCTTTTTTTCACAAGACTCTTTTTGAAGCTCAATTTGACAGTAATGTCAAATTTAAGTCTGAAGTTAATAAATTAGAGAGCTCTACACTTCATTCTCAGCCACTAGGTTGGGATAGATCAGGCGTAGCTTATTGGGTCCAATTTGACAGAGCATGTAATCTTCGAGTTTACAAAGAAGACATTGATGAAGATACTTGGAAAATCGTGGCAAAGTAAATTTTGTAGTAAATTTTAGTTTATGTATTTATTTAAATTATATTTTATATATTTTTTTAGAGATAGAAGCACCTTAGTTAATCTTATAAATGAATTATCTGGAGAAAAAGACAACACTCTTGACGACATTGAAGACAGTAATAGTATTGAAACTGGTTCAGATGGTTCAGGTGGTTTATCTTCAAATCGGAATTCAGAAGAGCAATCTACTATGTTATCAAACAGTGCTCCTATTATTGAAGATAACAAAAAAGAATGTAGTACTACAGAATCAACTAATGTTGAATTAGAAACAAATGAATTTGATCCAAAAGAAAATCCTCTTGATAAACCTATTAATTATAAAAGAAAATTGAAAGAGGATGACAATACATCAAATAAAAGTATTATTCCTATTGTTGGAGAAGAGATTGAAGAATCTGTGATGATTGTAAAAGGTGAAGGTTCTGGGCAGGAATGTGATACTGGTAATCCTGATGAAACAAATACTCAAAATGATACATCAAAAAATGAAGATGTAAAAAAACCAAAATTATGGAGTATTGAAGCTATTTGTAGTTCATCTAAAGAAGTCAAAGAAGAAATAGTATCTGTTCCTAAAACTGGATTTTTTTTTGGCGATGATTCTGTACCATGCCTTCAAAATGTTTCTAATGGAGAAAATTCTTGTATTGATGACAAAAAATTAGAAGTGGTTTCATCGAACAAAAATATCGAAGAATGGAAAAAAAATAAAAAAATGAATGAAGACCTAAATAAAAATAAAAAAACCGATGAAGAATCAAAAAATAAAAAAACTGATGAAGAATCAAATAAAAATAAAGCACTGGACGAAGTTGATACAACTATACCACATAGCATCAAATCTTTAAATTTAGATGAATTTTCTAGTAAAAATGCTTCAAAACAATCAGTTTTTAATATTAAAATCCATGAAGAAGAAGTTCAGATCACAGAACGAAAAGCTAATGAGGTATTTACAAAATCTGAATCCAGTATAAAACATAATTCAACAAATATTTATGGCTCAACATCATTTGACAGCTATAGTAAACCTCAAGAGTCCCAGATAAATAGTATGACAGACATTGTTGCATGTAATAAAGATAATCAACCACAAATTAGTTACAAAACTAATAAATATGATACAGATCATAAGGTCGAATGCAAAAAAATTAATGTTGATCAAATTAATGATCAACCAACAGATCTAACTAATTCTAATATTCACGTGGGTAAAAAAATAAAAGAACAAGAAAATTTAAATGTGAAATTAGAAGAAAACACAAAATGCAATATTGATCAACAATTAAAAGAAAATGTAAAAGAAGGAATAGATCAGCAGTTAGAGAATGATCAAGAATCAAAACCTAAAGTTGGTGAACCTATTAAAATTGATAAACATACACTTGGCTATAAAGTACAATCAAATGAACAATTTACAGGTAAAATCGATCAAAGTGATGATGGAAAAATAGATAATAGTGGTGAAAAAATCATATTAAATGAATCATTTGCAAACACAGTTGGCCAATATACTGACATTAATGAACAACCAAGTATTGATGTAGTTGAGCCAAATACATGCATGTTAGGTACATCATTATCAAATGTAGTTGACCAAAGTATTATTAATGATAATCAAATATTGGCTAACAAATGCAAAACAATCGATATAGAAGAACCAGTAGATAATTTAGTTAAAGAAAATGAACCGGAAAAATTATCTGAACATACTGAACATGTTCAAAATACTGATGATTTGAAAACTAATGCTGCTTATTCTAATAATGACAATTCATTAATAAATGCAATTGCTAGTAGTAGTAAAGCATATGATCAAACTTCAACAGATAATGTCAATCAATGTTCCACAACCATTAAACAAGTTGTTGGTAATCAAAATAATAATACATCTAAGAAAACATCACATAATATAAGCAATATTATAGACACTGATGTGATTGTGATTAACGATAGTGTTAAAACAAATAAACAATTAATTAATTCTGGTGATATTGAAATTAAGCAACTAGAACATTTTCAGATTACAAATGAGAAAAACGTTTCTCAAGAAAAAAAATCATCTGTTTCAAATATAGATTGCCCAAAAGATTTTAGTAATAAACATAGCTTAAATAAAATATTACAAAAATTGGATGATACTAAGGAAATATCTGTATGTCCAAACTCTAAATCTTCTAATGTTGATTTAGAAGTAGACCAAATTGGTTTAGTGAAATCTGAGGTCGAAATAAATGTAGAAGAATCAAATTTAAAAAGCGAAGATATTTTGAAGGATTTGACTGTAATTAAAGAAGATCAATTAACAGAAAATGAAAATAATATTTCACTCATAAATTCAAGTGTACTAGAAAATCAAAAAGAGATTGTTGATGCGGTTAATAAAGTAACAAAAAGTGATAAAGATAATGAACTATCAAAAATAGCAATGGACCAATGCAAAAAAGATAAAATAAAACATGGAAATTTAAATGTGAATCATGCCGAAATTAAACAAAATAAGGCTAAAAAAGAAAAGCACAAATTATTTAATGTCGTATATGATACTGATACTGATGTTTGTAATGAAGAAAAATTAAATTTTGAAGAATTTAAAAGTGTTCCGTGTAACAAAGACGACTCTGTACAAGAGAGTAAATTGGAAACGGAATCTCTAATGGAGATTGGTGAAGATAGTGCTGTTGACATTTTTCATAGCGGTAAGATAAAAAAAAAATTATATACAATTTATAATTTTAACAAAATTAAAGTTATTTAAAGTCGTCTGATTTTGGTTCTAAAAAAATATTCAGCAGAAAAATGTCTGTAGATACAGATTGTACAAAACACTTCCTTTTTTAATTTTAATTTTAATTATGATTTGAAAAAATTCATATTTTCAACTTATCTATAAATTACAGTTTACAATAATATAAGATTTATGATCTATAGACAATTTTCTGTTGAATTCAAATTTTTTTATCAGAATAAACTTCGGACAATGCAAACTAAAAGCAAACTAACTTTAATTTTGTCAAAACTTAGAGATAAAATTGATGGCAGTAGCAAGCTACTAGCTGCGTCTTACATCATATTACCATTTTCTTTTTGTTACTTTACTATATTTTTACTTGAATGTCTTGTTAGATGATAATGATACCAAAAAATCAACCAAAATTTACAAGAATCTAGAAAACAAAGAAAAACACACAAATTCTGATAAAGATATATTAAATAAAAATCTCAAAATAAAAATAAAGAGTAAGTTAATTATAGAGATTAAATTCATTTAAAAACAATTACCATAAATGATGAAATAATATGTGTTTAAAATAATTCAAGATCCGGACGAGGAAGCTATATTAAAACCTTCTGAAGAACACATTGTTACTTCACCAGTTCGTGAGGATATATATGAAAATTCCGATGAAACTAACCAAGAGACATTTCAGAAAAGTCGTAAGTATTAATATAATTATTTAATTATTATAATTTTTAGATTCTGAATAAAGATAGGAATATATTAATATTACAATAATATTATTCTTATTTTTATTTTTCTGTAGACTTCTTTAGACAATTTAAAAGTTTCATGGAGCCATTATCAATTGTAATTGGTCCTTTGATAAGTTTTTTTTCAGTAGTTTCCAAAGTGTAAAGAAAAACTGCTGGCAACTAACAGATCTCAGGAAGTAGCTTGATTTATCTTTTTTTTCAAATTTATTACAGTGATCATTCATCACTATTGTATACAAGTGCTCTAGTTACAGCCTAGTCTCAAGTTTCCGGCTTGTTTTTTGTTTTGAAATGGTTGTCTATGATTAAAACTATACAATTAATTCATATTATTTTATTTCCATAAAATGTAAATTTTGTGTTTGACTTTTAGCTAAAGAAGAGTTTGATGATAGCTTAGTTGTACCTCAAACTTTTGAAGAAGATTACAATAAAAGTGAAGAAGAGGAAGTTACTGATGAAACACCAAAAAAGAAAGGGAGACCTGGGCGAAAAAAGGGTAAATATTTAGAAGATAAATTTTCTCAAATTTTTTAATAATGTTTGGTTATTTGTACATGTATTTATAACAGTCATTGTAATTTTTTATGCTAGGAAAAAGAGGAAGGGCGAAAAAAATTATTACAGTCAAGCAAGAAAGTATTGTAGAAGAAAAAGTAAAACGACCATACAAACCTCGTCAAAAGAAAGGTATTGTTTTATTTTTTATTTCACATAAAAATAATCTATTATGAATTATAACAATAATTACATTTTGGAATCGTATTAAATTATTAATTTATATCTTAACAGTTGTTACCATATCAGAAGAAGTGACTGTGTTTCCAGAGCCAGCTAGTGATGACAATGTGCGTAGATCAAGGCGTATTGCTGAAATAAAAATAAAGGAACAATTTATTCCTACTACACAATATGACGATATTGATATACCTTTAAAGAGTCCAAAGAAAAAAGATAAAGCTGGAAAGAAAGGGTCAACACCCTCAAAAAAGGTACATTCATTCATATTAATGTAAGGCAAAAACATTGTGTTAATATCATATTTGTCACTTAGTTTGAAAATACTGAAGAATCTGATGATGATGACGAAGAAGATCCTATTTCTAAAAAGTTCAAGAAAAAGAAGAGGAAAGGAAAATCTGATTCCTTGAAAAAAATCAACATGATAAATCCTTGGAATGTTGATTCTGAATCTAGGTATGCAAATTTATTTTTATATTATATTATTGAACCAATATTTTTTGTTAATAAAATTGTCAACAATATTTGCAGCTCTTCCGAAAATAACATAGGATTATTTGAAGACTACGATCATGAAGAAGAGGAAGAAATTCCTAGACCTGGGATTGAGCCTAATATTTCAGACCATGAGTTTTCCCCTGAGTCAGATATTAACGATGAAGATGAAGAGTATTTGCCTGAAAAAAGAGCTCGAACTGCTCATAAAAAAGGTTGTTTTTTATGAATATAATTTACTAAAAATCTTAATGCAAACTTGTTTCTTATATTATAAACAAAAATGAATGATGTTTTTTTTTATTTTTTTACAGATGAAGGTGAACTGTTAAAAGATGACATGTGTCAAAAATGTAACAAAAGCGATCAACCTGAATGGATTTTGTTATGTGATACTTGTAATCAAGGGTGGCATGCATCTTGTCTCCGCCCTCCACTTATGGTGATCCCTGACGGTGACTGGTACTGTCCACCATGTCGTCATGTAAGTACATTTATATTGAGTACTCATGACAATTTTCCAATTTTAAATATTTTTATAGCAAGCTCTGTTGAATGCATTAAAAGACACTTTAAAAAGATATGATGGTGAATCAAAAAAAAGAGAAAATGAAGAATTGAGACGTAAACGTTTGGCGTATGTAGGAATAAGTCTTCAAAACGTTATATCATCAAAAACGGAAGAAGTGAAATCTGAAAAACTGCCTGTAGAACATCAGTCTTCTGAAGATGATGAAGAGCAATCAGAATCAGAAGAATATGACTCAGAACCATTGTACACTTTAAGGGCTCGGCGACAAGCTAATGTCAGTTACCGTTTTAACGATTATGATGACATGATCAATGAAGCAATTTTAGTAAGAATTTGTTTAATAAAAATAAATGGATTATGCAGTCAGTACTAATTGTTTTGATTTTTTCAGGAGGAGACTGGTGCTGATGATTCTGCTGCAAAAAAATCACCCGAAGTGAAAACTGATAAAAATGATAATGATGAAAATAATGATTCTGATGACGATGAAAATGACAAGGGTAGACAGGATTCACCAATTGCACCAGCGTTGTTACATTTGAGGGGGCGAAAAAAATCAAAAAAGCTCACAAATCTAGATATCAGTTCAGACGATGGATCAGACGAAGATTTTAAAGGGCCTTCGTATGTTCAATATTATAATTTAATTTATCTTAATATATAATATATTTCTTCTGTCCGTGTGTAAGCATACAAACTCCTAACGGCTGCACTGATTTTGATGAAATTTATTGTATGTGCTTGAGTGGGTTCTTGAATGGTTTAGATTCACAATTGGACCCGGTAAGCCCAACCCAGAGGGGTGCTCAAACAGAAATTTTGAGATTTACAATCAATGGAAATTGTTGTTTATAAATGGTTGCTATTGGTTATAAGAGAAATAATTAGTAGAAATTAGTATATAAATACTTGCCATTAGTGATTAGTTACTACGCTAAATGAGGTAAAAGCATCCATAAAATTGTCACCCTTATGGTTTTGAATAAAGAAATTATATCTTAAAACAAATATGAGAGTTGAATTTATATTTGTAGCTATTATATAGGTACACAAAAACTACCTAACTGATTTTGTGAAAATTTCAAATTGTAATGAATTGGATATTTATACGAAACATCAAATGGGATATCAGGAAAGTTTAAAAAGTAGTTTGAACCACGTTTGATTAATACCAAGTGCTATATCAACTCCACCACAAATTATTTGTCCATTTTGGTCGAATTAGTACGCAAAGCAACGCAAATTTTGCCTTTAAACTGAGGTAGATATACACCAAAACCAAGATACAGTTATATAACCTAAATTTTGTTTTTTTTCACGGGCGAAAACGGTTGTACAACTAAAATTGGATGTTGGTTCATCCGAAGTTAATAGCCTCAAAAAACTACTGAATTGTTTTCAGTAAAAGTTATATCAATAGATTACTTGAAACTTGGAGGGTATTTATAGAATATTAAGGGGAGAAAATCAAAAACGATTGCTAAAATACTGATTTTTCAGAAGATTCTTTTAAATCTAAATTTAAATTGTTGAAATTGGTTACATATTATATTAATATTTTAATAAATTAGAAAAAATATGGCATAATATATATTGTGCACAAATATATTTATTAAAAATATAAATCTTTGGCCTGGACAACGTCGGGCAGGACAGCTATTATCTGTATATAAAGAAAAGATGTTTGTTAATTTTAGAGACGGAGACGATGATTACGATGAAGATTTGAGCGAGTATAGTGACGATTCCGTCAAAAGACGGCCACAACCAACACGACGTTCTGTGCGGAACCGAAAAAACGTGGTTGATCCTGACTTTAGTAAGAAATTGATTAAGACATTATTTTATAGTAGTGGTAAATGATTAGTATACAACTGTTAATCATGTAAACTCTGTAAATTTAGTCAATGACGATTCGAGTGACAGTGATCAACGTTCCAAAAAAAAGAGATCGAGACCTTGGTCAGATTCTTCGAATAGCGAAGAAGAAGACTTAACTTGGGGAAAAAAGAAAAAAAAACGTACAAATGCGTACTCGTCTTCGTCATTATTGTCCAAATCGACCAAAGGGTCTAAAAGGAAACGCAGCGAAAACGATGGTGCCCGAAAATTTAAAAAATCTAAGGTTGTATAATTATAATATTATGTAAATAATAAATGTACAATTTGTTTGTGGAGGTTTTTTAGAACTTTTTTGTACTTAGATCAAGTTCGGTATGAATTCGGATTCAGATTCAGACGGCCAACCCAAGAGAAGAACAAGAGGACGACAAATAACTTACGCCGAATCCGACGATTCCGAAGAAGTAAAATTACATCATAATATATCTATACTACTATATAAAATGAAGTCGCTTTTTTTTATTCGGGATAAACTCCAAAACTACTTATTCAATCGTCGTGTAATTTTTTTTAAGTTAAAGGGAACATCACAGAGAAGGTTTATAGCATACATTTAGTCCGATAAATTTAATAAATAATTAGTTATTATTAATTAAAATAAACGCGTAAATTGTATACCTATATATTATACATATAGTGCGGCACGGCGGCCCGAGGGTTTCCAGGTACCTGCAACCTGACTTTTTTAAAAGAACCGGCCTTTTTTATGTTCCAATTTTGTTACTATACTATTTAATATTTTTCCAATTTTTTTTCACAGTTGTTCCAAATACCTTCTTGAATGTAACCATGTCGCCCGATTTATTATTATTTTTTTTCTGAGGGGAGGGAGAAGGGAATCTATATATTATACACCTAAAATCCAAATATCACGGACTCACTGATCGCTATATCTCAAAAACTACTCAACGTACGAATTTAAAATTTGGAATAGTGGTTCTTCTAATACTTTTACCTTGCAATAAGAAAGGATTTGCTAAAATTCGCATTTTAAAGAGGTGCTGAACAGGACATTGAAGTTCACATTGAACATTTTATTTTTATTTGTTAATAGTTACCATTGGTTACAGTAGACAGTAGAATTAATTAGTTTTTATTTGTTATCGGTTGCCATTGGTTTTTTGGGTAGATCAGGTACAAACTTGCATCAAATCGAATTATTGAAAATTGCCTACCCGGGTGATTGGTGAAAAAGTTGCCCTTTGTCCGAGATTGCCGTCCCGGATTGCCTACCCGAGTGGCTGAGTTACACTTACTGCAGGCTGCAGCAAGTTACACCCAAAAGTAGTTGAACAATCATAATTTTTTTAAGATTTGCGTGTTTTTACGGGTAATGAAGTGCACGGGTTCTGCTATAAAAATATATTTACCATTAATACCTCTCGAAACATTTCAATACATTTTCATTAACCGTTTTTTATATTTACTTGCCGATCAAATTAAACGCAAAAATAACATTTAAATAAAAAACTATACGTATCATTATCATCGTCCGAAAACAAAATAAACAACCAATCACGGGCGAAGCTATAACGGGTCGGCTACATAGGCGCACATAGGGGGGTGCTTGGGGGTGCTTAGCACCCCCAAGCTTCAAACTAGCACCATCAGTTTATTTCAGTATTTCACCAATCATTTATAAGCTATCGTGGTTTATTGGTTCGGAATTTTTCTTTTCATTACAAATATTGACAACTGTTTACGAATTCACGAATTCATTTTTTTTTTTTTTTCTGTCATCATCTTTTAGGACAGTAAAAGTGTCAAAAGCAAAAATTTCACAGTAGTTTTCAAAAGCGCCGTGAAAAACAAAAGAAAAATTAAGGAAAAACGGGAATTTTTACGCAAAATCTGTTTTCGAGAAAATTGATTTTGGTTTTTAGTGTAACTTTAAAACAAATGACCGTAGATATATGAAATTTTCACTGGTTATTTATATTTCCATTTTCTATACATGATAAATTTTTCTAAATATTTTGAGTTATTTTGAGCTTTTTACGGAATTTTTAGTTTCCATTTTTTTTAGTTTTTTTTTCTATAAGTATCAATAAAATTTTATTTGTTGGGTATAAAAGCTTAAACATTTAATAGAAGGCTCCTAATAAACTGTTTCAAAGACAGATGAAAAATATTAAAAATCCTTAGTCACAGTTTTTTGTTATAAGCATTTAAATTCCAAATATTGACAAAATACGTGAAAATGACGAAACTTTGCAAAGTATTTCGTGTTAGAAATTCATAAAAATTTTTCTTTTTAAATCTAAGATATGAAAATGTAATGCAAGATTCCTCATAAGTTTCTCTACCTTTATCAAAAAAAAAAAATGTCTACAAGAATCTCAAATTAAATTTTTATGAACGTTTGAAATTCATATTTTTACAACATTTGATATTCACTCGATTTCTCATGTAACGATTTTCTAATTTTGTTGTAATTAAAAAACGAATGACTGTAGATACTTGAAAATTTTACTAAATTTTTATATTAGCATTTCCTATACACCATATAGTTTTCAAAATATTTGATTCTTTTTGAGCTATTTACGGACATTTTCAGTTTTCAATTTTTTAATTTTTTTTTCTATTCATATCAATAAAATTGTATTTGTATGGTAAAAAAGCTTGAAAATTTAATGCAAAGCTCCTGATATAATGTTACAATAACACTTGAAAAATATTAAAAATACATAGGCACAATTTTTTTAAATAATTATTTAAAATTCAAATTTTGACAAAATTTATCACATTTAAAATTTAATAATAATTTTATAGTTAAAAGTTTATAAAATGTTCAACTTTTATAGCTAATGATTGAAAATTTAAAACAAGATTCTACGTAAATAGGTTATATATAAATTGCTTTATTCACCTTAGTATCATTAAATATACTTAGTAATATCATAGGCTGACTAACCGTCTTCGCTCAGAATCGTTTTTCTTATACAATGATGTTAGTATATCATTGAATTCAAATTTAATACCATCGATTATACAGTGACCTACTTGTACCCTACTGTACAGCAGAGCACCTTTTTTTGTTTATCAAACTTAAATAACTTTTATTTTCATTTTGATATCGGAAATATAAAAACAAAGTTACAGAGGAAATTTTCTCATTTTTATAGTGTGAACATTTAGTTTCTTAGCTTAGAGTAGAGACTGAATGTTTTTTATACCCGTGCAAAACAGTTTTTCCTATGTTGTACCTACGTCTGTAATACGGAGACAACACATGTGGGTGTACCTAGCGTCTTCTTTACAATCATACAGACGATTTGATACATTGCACTTTAGAAATTATTGTATACACTATACAAATTAAATCTAATGCAATGCAGAAATATTAGGATTAGGGGGGTGTGGGGGGCAAAGCCCCCCCACGGATCTGTGAACCATAAATTATCCCAGCACCCCTAAATTCACCCCTATGGTCGGCTAGTTTAATATATAATTATTGGTTTACTATACTAAACAACAGTGGCCATACTAATGTGAAATAATTGTTCTTTAGGAAGTCGTAACGAAAAAGCGTAAGGTAGGAAGTGACGAAGAAGATGAATATGTGTTGAACGACGAAGGAAAGTAGAACGCGAGAACGAAGACCATACTTTAGAAGTGGACGAAGACGATGCGCTGGCCAGTAACGACGAGAAGGATGAAGAAGACGACGAAGAAGCAGTGGACGAGGAAGAGGAGGACGAGGACGAAGAGGAAGAGGTCAACCCGAAACTGGTGATATCCTCATCAGGGCCATCTGCAAGTAATGTCGCCACATCAGACTGTCGTTAAACTGCCGCCGCTGTCCGCTGTTTATTCAATCGGTCATCAGGGAACCGTTATCCTCATCACCATCGGATCCAGTGGCCTCCGAACCGCATCACGGGGCACACCCACGACTGCTGCCACCGGCAGTTGCCCAACGATCGGACAAACAAGCGTTGTCGCCAGTCGTCGACCCCAATCAAGGGTCGCCGGATAAGCGAAAACGCCCCCCACAGCACCAGCCGAAAAAGTGTCCGTCGCCCAACCCTCTGGTGGACTTCGGGGTGGGTGCCGGCTACCCATATGCTCCGGACGCCACCAAAGTGGCGGTGTCCGCTGTCCCGCCATCGCCCGCACACGCCGCGTACATCAGACCCCCAGCAGCCGTGTCTGCTGCTGCAGGAGTGTTCAAGACCATGGTCCCGCGAACTGCGGGTGACGTGGGTTTTCCCGTCTCTCCTGCCCCGTACCGGACGGCAGCCAATAAAATGACAGGACCGGCTGCCTACCTGTCTCCGCCACCGCCACCTCAGGTGCAACAAGTGTACCAGGCGCCGACGCCACCGCAGCCGCAGCCTCCGTCAACCAGTTATTCGCCGTATCCAATCGATTACGCCGCCACCGGAGCTCCGCTACCACCTCCACCACCGACGATCGCGTTCCGAAACGTGCTCGTAGCGCCGCCGTCGCACGAGCATGCTCTGCTGCCCAGTGCGACACAGCAGCAGCAATCGGCAACGGGGGGCGGGGACAGCGAATTTGGCGGGCTCGTTTCGTATTTTTCCAGTCAACAAGAAGACGATTTTGACACATGATGATCTCGTCCATCTCCGCCGTATTATATTATTAGTATTATTGTAATTATTTTTCCACTTTTTATCGTTTTGTTCCCCTCTATCCCTCCATCAACTTATCGTAACTTACTGTTCTATTATAGTTTTGAAAACTTGGCTGCTTGTATGTTGTTGTTATTATTAATTTAGAATTATTTTATTATTTTACTTTTATATAACCATGACGTATAATTTTGATTTTGAGTCTAAACAAATAACTCTAGGGCAATTAAGGGGATTGCAAGTGGTTATTTTCTGTCTAACACACGTGGAACATAGGAATTTCGACATGTTTTCATTCCAACGTACCTGCAATATTGATCTTAGTTAAGGGATAAGAATTTTAAAAACTGATTTGAATTTGTCGTAAAATCTACTTAAGATTGATTTCTTCAGATTGTTAATTATTTGATTTTAGCTACTCAAAAAATTTTAATATTTAATTTTTTTTAGAATTTATGGAGATAAATATGTAGGAATGACGATTTCGACAAATTACGATAAATTCAAATCTGTTTTTAGAATTCTTATCACTTCACTGTCTAGATCAATTGGTATGTTGGAATAAAAACGAGTCTAAACTCCTATGTTCTACATGTGTTAGACAAAATAAGAAAATCCCCACTTCCAATCCCCTTAATGTGGTTGTGTACATTTTAAATAGTAGGGGAGGCCAACTACACACATAGAAACATCAAACTACTACAAATATCATCACAATTCACGATCAAAATTGATTGCCAATTTTTGTATATCCACATTGTAAAATCACGTTCCAAAAGAAATGCATTATATATTCACCGTAAACTGTCAACTACGCTGCCTCTTTCTATTATTTCATTACTTAACCTAATTTTTTCTTGTTTTTTTAATTTTAATTGAAAAACACAATATTTTTCTTTACTTGTTTAACGAGGCCATAATGTTAAAAAACGAAGATCTGAGCGAGTGTATTATAACGAACAATTTATTTTCTAACTATTTTGTTTCAGTTAAGTATTTAGTAATAATGGTTTTTTTTTTGAACATATTTTAATTTACTTCAATCCCAAAAACACAATTAAAAACTTTGACATCATTCTCATATTTTAAAACTAAATGTTTTAATGTATCTCCCTAGCCTAACAGAAAATTTTAATTTAATTTACTTATTTCATTTTGAATTGCCCCACCAATAAAAATAAATATTTTAGGAAAATCACAGAAAACAACTTGTGTATAATATTTAATGTACAAATATAAATTGTCCTAATATAATTGAAGTAACTATTAAAGTTTATTTAAATTTTAAGTCGTAGTGAAAATATTTTGATTGATTTTTTATGTTTGTCAATATGCTGAATGTTATTTGTACGTTAATTGTACAATTTTACTTTCATAATTTTAATATATTTTAGAATTTTATTTAATTGGTAATTATATCAATATAAGATACATTAACACAAAATGTTTAATTTTATGTTTGTTTTGAAAGAACAAAAAAATAATTTATAAGTGCTAGTGTTGTATAAAATCATATAATTAATTATTAAGATTTGTCAGTTATACTTTTAGACCATAAATATTTTATTTGTAAGTAGGAGGTATATAGATATATATATATATAATTTATTTCAAACTTTTGTTAGTCTTTATTTTCATATGAATGTAATCATCTCCAGAATTGTACAAAACTACAAAAACATGGAAATTAATTTTACTTGTGGACTGGAACCTTGATGATTTTTACTGTTCCGGTTCCTATTCGGTTCCCCGTAAAACTAAAATTTCTGTTTCGGTTCCCAGGAAAACTAACTTTAAGGTTTCGGTTTCTTTAAGGTTTTTAAAAAATAAAAAAATTGTTACCTGATTTGGTTTTTTACTTATGTAAAAAAATGTATCAATTAATGTATCGGTTCCGGTTTTTAAATTAATTTAAATAAGGGTTTAGGTTCCCAATATTCAAAGGGTTCCGGTTCTTTTCGTTGAGGTTCCAGTCCCTGGCTTCATTAAGGGGCTTGTTCGTGTGTCTTTAATAAGACAATATTTAGGCAATGAGCCATTTCGTTGCTGCCACCCATGTCATTTGTGTTAGTCGTCAATGATGATTAGTGTTAGTGTGATTGTATGCGGGTACCGGGCTATCTACTCACCGACTGCATGTGGTCACATGCATAGACAAGAATACTGTGGTCACGTCATGTCAACGGCACCACCCACCAAAAATAAGGTGTTTTGCTCAAAACACGCTTTACGGGAAAAACTCTCACGCATCGTAGAGAGGTCTGATTTGATTAATCTTCTTTTTTTTGTTGGAAAAGGGATAATTTTTTACAGGGCGCATTGGACATTTATTTTTAATTTCGTTGCTTAAAACAAATATAATAAAAATAACAAACTCTTGTGAAAATTGGTCATATTAAAAATCGTATTATGTATATGGTTTAGAAATCGAATTTTGAAAATCCAAGTCCAGTGAGAGCCCTGTAAGAAGTGTTTCTCTTTCAAAAAAAAAAAAAAAACACTACGAGACGTGAAAGTTATTCCTGTAAGGCATGTTTTTGAGCAAAAAAACAGGTCACGTGCAGTTTCAATTTGAGAACTAAATAAATAAATTATGCATAAACCATTGGTGGACTGGACAACATAAAAGTATAAAACGCCGGCACTTGGTTGCTCAAACCCCAGCATCATTCCTTGAGTTGCTTATAATTGTAACAGGCTCACACAACTATACAAGATAAATATGGAAAGGAACAACAGGGGGCGTGACCAAGGGGCAAGAGGAGGGGGATAAGCCCCCTATATTCAAAATTCCTGAGTGCTGATCAATTTGAAACTTTTTTTCTATTACGACTCGTTTATGACAATGCTGCCTAAACCTCAATCCATTTCTAAGTGATGGTAATTTTTAATTGGAAATTTCGACATCGTGAAGTCAAAAATACAATCACAATAGATACCTATTATATTTGTTTTAAAATGGATGATAATACGATAATACGTTGACCATTGCCAAATGTACCTACATTGCGCACTACAGTAGAGTCTGTGTTTTGTAGTATTAACGATAATCGGATACTTTTAGAAAATCTTGGTTAATAAAGTGGATAAGATAAAAATAATATGTATTAAAATTATTAAAAATATGAATTAAGTAGGTTAATAATCGTAAAATTTTATTATTTTTAAAAATATTTTCAATTTTGGTGTTGTGGAATATAATATTTATAGAGGTAAGAACAAATTATGAAATCAATATAAAACATGAAAACAAATATAAATGTATAAATGTAAGTATAAAAGTATTTAATATTTAGAAATATGCGTTTTTATGGAAAGACAGCGACATAGGTACAAAATAAGCAAAATAAAATTGTTTTTTTTGTTGTTTTTTTTATTGTATTTTAGTATAATTGAAGAAAATCCCATTGCTGCATGTAATTTCATATAAAAATAAGATTATAAGAACATACGTGTACATTTCGTGCAAAATCTGTTAATTAGATTTTAGTTATAAGTTATAATATTGAGAGGAAATGGAATGAGACACATTTTAATTATCTATTTTTATTCTTACGCAATACATGCGTCTGCCATCGATTGCGTAATATATGTGATTTAAAGGAGTGTTTATGGTTTCTCAACCTTTTCAACGTCGCAAGTTTGCGACCACCAAAATAGGTTAAAAATAAAATCTGTCACTTCTCGACCCCCCCCCCCCCTTATAAAAAAATAAATTGTTGAGTATAATACTATCTCAAATATCTAATTTATACTTTATTTACTTTATTATTCATAATTTATAGTATATTTTATAATTATACTATAAAGACAGTACCTATATAAAGTATAAATTAAATTTTTCATTTTAGATTCTGAGTGGAACGATGAATGTATTGATTTTACAATGTGTGTTTTTTTATTTTTGTGTCTGTGTACACGATTAGTAGTCGAAATAATGCTTCGATTTTCAACTTGAGTATCTTGTTCGATGGGAAAGTGAATCTAATTGGTACTTTTGGGAGGTCAAAATTTAAAATTCCCAATAGTTTTCAAAAGCTCCCGGAAAAACAAAATAAAAATTAAGGAAAAACCGGAATTTTTACGCAAAATCGGAATTATTGGTGTAACTTTAAAACAAATGACCGTAGATACATGAAATTTTAACTGGTTGTTTATATTTGAATTTTCTATACACTATAAAATTTTCAAAATATTTTGATTTGTTTTGAACTGTTAAAGGACATTTTCAGTTTCCAATTTTATTAGTTTTTTTCCTTGATTGTCAATAAAACTTTATTTGTTGAGTAAAAATACTTTAAAACTTAATACAAGGCTCCTTATAATATATTGTTACAATTACATTTGAAAAATATTAAAAATCCTTCGTCACAGTTTTTTTTTATAAGCATTTAAAGTTCAAAAACTGAAAAAATATGGAAAAATCACGAATTATTTTGAGTTAAGAATTCATAAAATTTTTTCTTTTTAAATCTAAGATTTTAAAATGTAATACAAGATTCCTTATAAGATTATCTGCCTTTATCAAATGGGCGTTTGATATTCAAATTTTTATATCATTGGATATTCACTCGATTTCTGATGTAGCGAGTTTCTTATTTTGTTGTATAATTCAAAAACAAATAACTGTAGATACATGAAAATTTCACTGTGTGTTTATTTTATCAGTTCTTATACTTGCTAATATAATATTAGTAATATTTTCAAAATTTTTACTTGTTTTGAGCTGTTTACTGACAATTTCATATTTCAATTTTTTTATTTTTTTTATTCTATAAATATCAATTAAGTTTTATCTGTTGGGCCAAAAAGTGTAAACATTTAATACAAGGCTCCTAACGATATATTGTTACAATATCAGTTGAAAAATATTAAAAATACACAGGCACAATTTTTTTTTGTAAGCATTTAAAGATCAAATGTTTAGAATTTTTTACATGTGTGGACGTCACTCCCAGTGGAGAGGGTTCGACGGAGCAAGGTACAACGATCGAAACGGAGGGACCACTAGCTAAGTAGTATTTTTTGCACTGCTATTTACGTCTGTTAGCTATTAATTATTATAATATAGGTACTAGCTGATCCCGTGCACTCTGTTACCCGTTAAATGTACCAACTCTATATGACTCAAACTTTGTTCAATTCGTTAATTAATATTCGGTTCATGGTACTTACTCAAAATTTATCTTAACTTTTCCGTTGCCCGGAATAAAAATTCTGGTTCGCAGCAGTTTATTATCAGGTAGGCAATCTATCTGCGATACATAGCGGACCCCCGTGCTGTTTGTACGTAACTTTATAATTTAACTCTCAAGTATCAAAGTTATACCAAGTATATCACTGAACTCCTCCTAAATGGCTGGACTAATTGTGAATGCCGAATCTGTCGACCAATATTTCCTTCTCATCCACGAAGACGTGGCATTAATATACTCACATATTATAAGTTACGTACATAAAACAATGCCACGTCTTTGCCTACCTGATAATATTTACTACTGCGAATGAGAATTTTTATCCCAGGCCACAGAAGAGTTAAGATAAATTTTGAAAATCATACACAGAATATTAAATAACGAATAATTGAACAAAGTTTGAGTCATATAGAGTTGGTACATTTAACGGGAAACGAAGTGTACGGGATCAGTTAGTATTATTATAAGTTATGAACATAAAAAAAAAATATATAATCAATATTAATCCACAATATATTATTCTTAATTAAACTAAGGAATTGGAATTGTTTAGCTTAAGAGCTCTTGTCTGAAACAGCTGGTCCTTCCGCGGTGGCTGATCTTCAAACTCGTCCTGCTGATCCTGATCCTTTTCCTGCGTCTGCTCCAAGTGCCACCGCCGCGTGTCACTATATTATACATAGTTTATTATGGTTTTTATGGCACACGGAATCTGTGATATCATGACGCGTGGTGGCTGCAACTGAGTTCACGAATAGGATATGATAGCGCCATCTAGTGTTCTGGCGCACGTCCATAGTCCGGCGATCACTATACTTAGAACAGACGACTTCTGTTCTGCGTTGTCGCGGTAATCGACCGAATGTCTTATATATATACGACCTGCTGGCCGCTATACCTTCGGAGGTCTGTCGTGTGACAAATGTCCAAATAAGCCGTATGGCATAAAAAAAACCCATTCTTACGGATACATACAAACTCCACTGACCCAGGAGAACTGGCTAGTTATATACAAGGTAACTTACCAAAAAAGGGGATCACCCATCACATTTGTCCACGAATGCTGCAGAGCGCTCGACCTCCAGAAATTTTTTGCCATTTTATTCAACTATTGCAATTTTCAAATCTTCATTGTAGTTAAATTTTTTTTTCTTATTCTTGCAAGGTACATTAATAATGGGTTACTATGCGTTCCACCAATGGAAAAACAAGTTTTATACCTGTGTTTTTACGGTCTATTATTAAAAGTTATTACAGTATTTTGTTTGTTTGTTTTTTTATGCTTTTTTATTTATAATTATTTTAGACAAATCAATTACATTTAAATAATTACAATAAATTGCATTAATGCCTAATAGCTGATAAGTATACCAAATGAGCTATAAGCTCTTGTGTGCTATATGAGTTTCGTGGATATAATAATTTGTTTTAAAGTATTTTACTTATACAAATAAAAATACTATTTAATTAACTAAACATAGTACAGGTAGTAGATGGATACTTTAGAAACAAAATAAACATCAGCGTTACAAATTATACTGTAAAATATTACTCATTATAATACATATAAGATATTATGTTTAGACATACTGAATAATTTTATTAATATATGCTTTATCATCAAGAGATCTAATTATTTTATTTATTTATTTTTTGATACTGTATGTATTTATAGAATGATAGATGAAGTGAATTTCTGGAAAAACCCTTATAATAATGTACTTTAAAATTATAATTGTTTGAAATATTTATTATGTTTAAAAATTATGAAAACACTTTGTTAAAAGGTAAAATATCATAATAATTTTAAATTTAAATTTAATGGATTACTTTTTTAGCTAATTAGAAATATTATTAGGTACAATAGAAAATAAACTAGATAAGCTAATTACAATTAAGTCAACTAAAACCAGTGCATACTAGGTTGCCTCCCAAAATATAAGAATTGCCTCCCATAGTCCCATCCTCATCTTAAATAAAAAGGTTAATATACACTAGTTGCCTCCGATGACCAGGTCGTTCATAATTATATACGAGTTGCCTCCCAAGAATTTTCACACTAGTTGCCTCCCGTACAGAATTAAGTAGTGGTTCATAAACTTCACTAAAAAAATCAGATAAATAGATGAATTTATGAAATGAACATAATTAATAAATATTTTATGTTTCATTATTATTGAAAATATGAGACTTATGTATGTATATTATATAGGTACAAAATCAATAATAATATAAAAGTAATATTAATTGATTATTTTATATTATATTATATTATGATGTATACATTATAAATTGTTTTTATACTAAGTCATTAGGTTCTTAAAAATATATAGTTCAGTTAAATCATGAGTCTGAGGTATAATAGATACGACATTTATATACAAATTACACAACTATAAAAATAATAAATCAATTAGTCAATAAGTCAAACAAAATAGGTAAAATACAAAAAATTATTTATAACTTTGCTAAGGCCAGTGTCGGACTGGCATACCAAAGGCCCATGGATCAGTTTTTTTAAGGGGCCCCCAAAAAATGTACACCGTATTTCGTTGAAACAACATATTAAGATACTTCTTTAAATATAGGTACTTTACATTTTTACTAATATGGATCATAATATATAATATATATCATAATCATGATTCATGAGTTAACTTAAATATAAAAGCAATTTTACAACTAATTATTTTTGAAATAGGTACCTACCTATGCCTAGTAAGAATATTTTAAATAATAAAACACAATTTTTAAATAAGTAATTTTTTTAATTCATTAGATGAATATGCTATCGTCTCTATCAATTTTTGAGTGTCAATAGCTATATTTTTTTCTATAGCCATCAACATTAATGGAGTAAGGTGATTTTGATGTAACGTTGAGCGAAGTTTCGTTTTTATACATTTAAGCTTTGAAAATACCCTTTCGCAAGTTGTTTGTGTTGATGGCAACAACAAAGCAAACTTATATATAACAAATAAATTTGAAAATAAATTTGACTGGCATGATAATTCTCGTACAATTAAAAATGCACAGTAAATACATTTGTTACACTTATTGCAATTTACTGATTTTGATATTTCATCATTATCTTCATCACTCACATCTTCATTTCTTAAAAGTAACTTATCTTCTGAATCACAATCGGTAGTATATTTAGGTATTTGTGGTATAAAATTTTCATATTGACTGGAAAATTGTTTCAATTCTGTTAAGATTACTTGATGATTCAGTCCAGATATTTTACATATAGTACTCAAAGCTGATACAGGCAATAATTCAGTGTTGTTAAATACTGCAAAACTTCTAGGGTCCAACCAGTTCAAGTCTTTTAATAAATTTTCATTTTTCATGAATCGTGTCTCAATACTATTTTGAATAGTGTCTATAATTAAAAAAGTATCATATTTAAATTTATTATATGGAGATATAATTCTTGATTCATCATTACACTTTTCCCCAGAAAGTTTTTTTTTTTTTGAAATACGTTTTATTGGAAAATCTTCTTCAATATTAATTAAATCTTCTTCACAAAAGTGATTATTTATTTTTTTACAAAAATGTTGACATTTTTTATATAAATTTAATACATACTCATCATTTCTTTTTTTCTCAATTTCTTTTTTTAAAGCAGCTATCATATTCCATGCTTGTAAATAATTTATAGTTTTAGTTTGTAGATAAATTGACACCGGAGTTGTAGCTGAATAAATATCAAGCAATAAATTAGATATACATATAATTTCAAATCTTGACCAGTTACTAATCAATGATTTAGCAATGAACTTAGATTGTGTATTGAAATTGCCATGACAAACTGCGGTTAAAAATGTAAATAAAGTGGTAAATTTGGCGTTATCGACTTCTTTATCAATTTCAACTACGTTCAGTTGTAAATCCATAACTGAAGATAAAGCTTTATCTTTACTCCACCACCTAGTTGCACCAATTTTTTGGAGTCTATAAAGTTTATCATGACCAGTATGTTTTACACTAGTAATAGATGTCCAAGTTTCCATTCGTTTGTGGGAATCTGATAAAAAAACAGCCGTCTGCTCTACTAATCCAAATAAGTCTTCAGCCAAATTAATGTCAGTACTACATTCACTCATTACCAAATTTAATACATGCCCCATACAGTGTGTGTACACAATATTTGGATTTACACTTTTTAAATGGGCCTGTAAACCATTATAAATACCTTTCATGTTGGCGGCACCATCAAATGAACATGCAACAATGTCATTTAACTCTAATCCTAGTTTTTTTAATTCTTCTTTTAATAAGTTAAAAAGGCCAATACCACTAGAGTTATGGCAAACAACCAAATTTAATAATCGTTCTTGCACAACACCATTGAAAATATACCGGACACATATTGCTAATTGATCCATAACACTTACATCCTGAGTGCTATCAATCATTATACTAAACTTAATACACTCTTTAATTTCTTTAACAATTGTACCTTGAATTGCTGCTCCAATTGGTATAATTATGTTATTATTTATAAAAGTTTTGGACATGAATGTAATCAAAGATCCACGACCTTTTTTAGACTTAGCTTTTTCACTAAGAGTTATTGACATTTTAACATGTTGATTTAAAATAGTATCATATTTAGAAATTAACATGACTAGTTCTAAAAAATTACCATGGTTTACTTCAATATTTTTTAAAGAATTTGCTGCTTCATGTTTACCTCGATATGGGATGCCTTGACGACCAATAAAAATAACAATATCTATTAGTCGTTCAAGCACTTGTCTTCGATTTTGTACTTCTTGAGACCTTTTTGCCATGACATCACGATTTATAATACACTCAATATCTTTATTTAATTGAAAACGGACTGCAGTACATGATGAATTCTGATGGAATAGTGAATTTTCATGTCTCACTATATCACGATAAAGGCATTTTTGTAATTTTATATCAGATTTATACCCACTTATGAACTTTGATTCTTTTTCTCCAAAATTAACTGGCTTTCCATAAGCCATACAATTAGAACAATATAAACAATTTGTTTCTATACAGTAGGATATCCATTTTCTTTGAACCACTTCTCCATTTGGCAACTCTTTATAATAAATTCTTTTAAAATTAAGTTTACCTTTAGTAGTCATTATAGGTTGTATAGGATGCTTAGAGAAGAAATTATTTTTAATAGCAATGGAATCATTTCTTGAAGGGCGAATAAAATTCATAATATTAGAATTTTCATCCGTGTTAACTGCATTGTTTTCATTAAAATTATAGTTATCCATACTAGTGTCTTCAAGCATTTTATCAGGTTTAGTATCTATTAACAAAATTATTTATTGCAATTTTAGATTTCAAATTTTAAGTAAATTGTTTTAATAGGTATTTACCATTTTTATCCATACTAGTATGTTCAGGCATTTCATCAGGTTTAGTATCTATTAACAAAATTATTTATTACAATTTTAGATTTCAAATTTTAAGTAAATTGTTTTAATAGGTACATACAATTGTTTTCATTAAAATCATTGTTATCCTTACTAGAATGTTCAGGCATTTCATCAGGTTTAGTCTCTATTAACAAAATTATTTATTACAATTTTAGATTTCAAATTTTAAGTAAATTGTTTTAATAGGTACTTACCATTTTTATCCATACTAGTATGTTCAGGCATTTCATCAGGTTTAGTATCTATTAACAAAATTATTTATTACAATTTTAAATTTCAAATTTTAAGTAAATTGTTTTAATAGGTACTTACCATTTTTATCCATACTAGTATGTTCAGGCATTTCATCAGGTTTAGTATCTATTAACAAAATTATTTATTACAATTTTAGATTTCAAATTTTAAGTAAATTGTTTTAATAGGTACTTACCATTTTTATCCATACTAGTATGTTCAGGCATTTCATCAGGTTTAGTATCTATTAACAAAATTATTTATTACAGTTTTAGACCTTTTAGTTTTCAATTTTCAATATTAATTTGCTTAGGCATCTGTCCACAGACTTCTGTTTTTTAGTGCCTGGCTATTATTTTATGTTACCAGTTACCACCCATAACTCCCCACAATATTCACCTAGGTCCAAGTTAGATAGGTATTAGGTATCATGACAAACCAAATTATACAAACTTGGCAAGTAATTTATAATTATATTTTATAGATAGTGCAGATTAAGATTGAGTATAATTTTAAGTTTACATTGTTTTATTATCCCATAAATGTTAATGGTGAAATATATTTAAATTTGAGTTTTTTTTATTAGCTAACTTCATCAACTTTGATTTTTTATTGGTAATACTGTTTTTAACACTTAAAATACCTTTAGAATATCTACACAATATTTATTTAGAAGTTATGTTAAAGTTATTTTCTGTATACCTACTAAAGACTGCAATTACCTACCGAATACATTCACTTTGATTTTAAATTTTTTATATTTAAATTTGTTATAATTTTGCAACATTGCAATAAACATATTTTAATTGTTTCAAATTTTTATATTATAATTTTTTTGAACTGTGCAAATATTAATTACACTAAATCATCCTTTACATGAATATACGTCTTAAAGACTGTGAGTTTGCAAAATTCTATTGTTATTATTAAAATGACAGTGTAAATTTTTATATTATAATTTTTTTAAACTGTGCAAATATTAATTACACTAAATCATCCTTTACATGAATATACGTCTTAAAGACTGTGAGTTTGCAAAATTCTATTGTTATTATTAAAATGACAGTGTATATTATAGTCTAAAAAAACAAGAAATTCTTATTCACATCCAAAATAAAACCCAAAAAGTCTTAATCAACATATTTAAAACTTACTTTTCGTACTATTCTCAGCAATCTTAACACGCTGCACTTGTTCCAGTGTAGGAAAACTTAATTTTTTTTGATGTGGGGATGATTGGATCACTAATAATGCTTTTTTATTTCTTTCTGCCTTTTTTGCGGCCCCAGATTTATATATACGTTTCATGTTCATAAATTAATTGCACAAATTCACGGTAAATAAATTAACAATAGACAACAGTTTAACATCAAATATATCGCATAACAATTAACAATAATCGACAGCACGCGAGTACACGACTACAGCAGTGAGCAGTCTGATTAATAAATTAACAAATCAATAATCATAGCTGTGTACGTATTATACTATTAACAGTATTATCCTAGTTATATTAGTCGACAATATTTTTATAAATAACTATAGTCGATAGTCAATACTCGATGGGATGCGAGAAAAACATTATATAATATTTATAAATAATAGCTTTATAATACAATATTAACGCCAAGCCGACGCGATGGAAATCATTCGTTTAAAAATAAACTATGAAACATTTGAAGCTACAAAACAATAAATAATAATTATTAATTCCACAGAAATGAAATTACGAAAACTAAAATTATATTTCTATTATAAAATTTCAATTTAGGAGACATATCCAGGGGCGGATTGGCGAATTTTTTCGGCCCGGGAAATATGGATCAAACCGGCCCTGCACCGCAAAGGTAACCCCCCCACCAAAAAACAAATTGTCATCATTTTACTCACATTTCAAAATTTGTTTAGTTTCACCCATAAATTAGTAAAATATATAATAGGTACCTATAATTAAAGTTATAACAGTTTAGGGTTAGTCAGATAAGGTTAACCTGTTCAGACTGTTCTAACTCGAACTTGAAGTTTGATCTTATTACATTTTAGATTCTGAGCGAAGTGATGAATGTATATTGATTTTACAATGATTTGTTTTTTTTTAATTTTTTTATTTTAATTTAATTTTTTATTTTTGCGTCTGTCATCAAATTTTAGGACAGTAAAAATAGTAAATACTTAGATTTTCTTCAACTAGATTCACTTTTCTGATAGGAAAGTTAATCTAGTTGATACTTTGGGGGGTCAAAAATAAAAATGTCCTGGTGGTTTTCAAAAGTGCCGAGAAAAACAAAAGAAAAATTAAGTAAATCGGGGAATTTTTACGCAAAATCTGTTTTCGAGAAAATCGATTTTGGTTTTTGAAGCAACTCCAAAATAAATATGATTATATAGGTACACGAAATTTTGACCGAATGTTTATATTAGTATTTTCTATACACCATAACATTTTGACTTACTTTGAGCTGTTTACGGACATTTTCACTTTTTTTTTCTACAAATATCAATAAAATTTTATTTGTTGGTTAAAAAGCTTGAAAATGTAATAAAAAGCTCCTAGTATATTGTTTCAAAGGCAGATGAAAAAAATTAAAAATCCAGTCACAATTTTTTTCTATAAGCATTTAAAGTTCAAAAATTGACAAAATACGTAAAAATGACGAAAATTTGCAAATTATTTTGAATTATAAATTGGTAAATAAATTTTAAAACACATTTTTAATACAAAATTCCTCATAAGTTTGTCTACCTTTATCAAAAAAAAAATGTCAACAAGAAAGTCAAATTATATTTTTATGACCTTCTGAAATTCAAATTTTTACAACATTTGATATTCACTCGATTTCTCATGTAATGATTTTCTTATTTTGTTGTGATTAAAAAACGAATGACTGTAAAATGTAGATACTTGAAAATTTCACTGAATATTTATATTAGCATTTTGTATACACCATACAATTTTGAAAATAATTATCTCTTTTTGATGTTTTAACGGACCATTTCAAATTTTAATTTTTTTAGTTTTTTTTTCTATAAATACCAATAAAATTGTATTTGTTAGGCCAAAAAGCCTGAAAATTGAATACAAGGCTCCTGATATATTGTTACAATATCAGTTGAAAAATATTAAATACAAGGTGATTCATTAAGCGTAAAACACTCATTATCTCAAAAAGTATTAATGTTTTTGAAAATATTTTTTTACATAGTTTCAAGTTGTTAAAAAAACAACGTTTTCATTAAAAAATTATATTTTTAAATATTTTTTATCCTTATATTTTTTAAGTGTTTTACTTTTTTGAATGACAGCATATAGTTTTAATTTCATATTCCAAAGCAGAATATTTTTCTAAGTATTTTGATACATAAAAATCGAACTTAGGACGAGTAGTTTATGAGTATTATTCTTGTTGAGATAATGAGTGTTTTACGCTTAATCAATCACCTTGTATACATAGCCATACATTTATTTATAAGCAATTAAAGCTCGAATTTTGACAAGATTTATCAAAATTTAATAATTATTTTGTTGTTAAAAATTTATAAAATGTTCAACATGTATAGCTATAGCCTATAAGGATTAAAAATTTAAAACAATTTTAAAGGTAAATAGGTTCTATTAACCGTTTTTTATTTTTTTCTCGTACCTTTTCAGTTCCACCCTTCTTTCGTTTTTCACCAGCATCACACATAATTTAAATCGCAAAGTTTAATTGAATTTGTATACTAAACACAATTCTGTAAGTACAGTAACTCGTTTGTGTAAAAAGTTCAAAATAAAAAAAAAATACAAATAATGATAAGATAAGGTTATTAATGTTATCACGTAACTAAATTCTACCATAGAGTATAAAATATAAATACTAAAATACCAATACCACAGATTTTTAAATAATACCTACATAATTAGCATAAATTGGAGGGATAATAGTGTAAATACCAAAATTCCTACTATGAATTGCAATAGTTTAAGATATTGAAAATAATACCTTCGTAGGTATTTGATTTTTAATATATTTTATGCTTAATTTATAAAAAATTAATTTTTTTTGTAATTATATTGTAATAATTATAGCAGCCCTGCAGGCCCTCACAAGAACCAGCCCATCGGGAAGATTCCCGATTTCCCGATAGGCCAATCCGCCCCTGGACATATCCGTAAGCTATATAAGAATTATATTATTTAAGTCGCTTTCAAAAGTAAATGTCATACCTTCATCATTATTATATATTTATATATTATACATTTATACAGATATTATAGACGTATAGTATTGTAAATTAATACATAATACATTTTTTTCTATGCAATATTTGCATGATTGCTGAATCCAACAGCGGGGCACTGGGGCCCCTGCAGGGTCGGGCAAGCGGGGTCCTCGTGGTCTCGTCTAAGTCCTATAAAACCTAACTTAACTTGCAGTAGTGCAATTAATCCAAAAAACCTGCTCTGACTTATTACTAGACAATTTCATTTTACTATTATTCATCATCATATTATAGGCCATAGCCCATAGGGAATGCTGGACAAAATTGACGACACTAAAAAAAAAAAAAAAAAAAAAAGGAAGGGGCCCCGGCCGCATTCGCGGCCCAGCGGCCATGGCCAGTCCGACACTGGAGCCTAAGGCTTATATTTTTTAGCCAATAACTCAAAATTTGATATTTTTTTTCATTCAGCTTTTTTATTTGAATATCAATGAAAATTATTGTTTGTCAAGGCTAACTTCTTTTGAAAACTAAATTTAAAACCTTTAATTATTTCAACACATTTTCCCTCTTCACTAATCATGTTTTGCACTTCACATTGATCCATTCTAAAAACTAGTGTAACAATTTAAAAATCGCTTAAAAATAATAGTATCATACAACTGGTACAACGAGAACGAGTGTTTAAAATCTACTAAACTTTACTCGATCACGTATATTATGTACTATATAGTCAGGTCTGGTTTGCATTATATCATTACACAAAAAGATTATATTATCTTAGTGTTTAGTCGTTAGATATAATCGTATTAAAATTAAATATCAAACATAACAAAAGTCATAAATTACGACTTTGAAATTACAAACTTATTTTGATACATGATATGTTTGAAAATGTTTAGAACCATTTGTATATTTATTACCTGGCTATTAGAAGGTTACTAGACCCTTTTCGTTGACGATAAAATTTAGGGTACGTCGTGAGGCAACTAGTATATGGACGGGAGGCAATTCGTATAAAAATTATTGACCTTTCTGTCTTCGGGAGGCAACTAGTGTGCGCCCAATAAAACTGATCCCGTGCACTTCGTTTCCCATTAAATGTACCAAATCTATATGACTCAAACTTTGTTCAATTCATTTAAATAATATTCGGTGTATGGTGTTCAAAATTTATCTTAACTTTTCCGTTGCCCGGAATAAAAATTCTGATTCACAGCAGTATATTATCAGGTAGGCAATCTACCTGGCACCTGCGGTAGATCGCTGACCCAGTGCTGCTTGTACGTAAGTGTATGATTTAACTCTAAACTATCAAAGTTATACCAAGTTTGTCGTATTATGAGTAAAAACAAACCAAATTTAACCATTTTTAAATTAGCGTGTCTTCTTCCCAGATGTCTAATCTACACTCAAACATTCTTTATATATATACTGACAAAAAATAATAATACATATCAACAAACATGCCCGATTAACCAATAGCAACCAATATATAATACACTGTTGAGCCACTATTGTATTTTTTACATCCAGATTTCCTGCTTTTCCGGTGTATTTTCCTAAAATTCTAAAGTTCTATCGTAAAACCCTTCTCCTAGCAATTACGAACATTTAAAAAAAAAATTGAGCGAAATCGGTCCAGCCGTTCTCGATTGATAAGGCAATGACAATTTTTCACGCTTCGTTTATATATATATAGATAGATACTCAAATAATAGTATATTAACATTACGCATACATATTATCGGTCTTTATGAAATTGTATAAATTTAGTTTTAGAAATAGACATAGCCAATTTGCAAAAAAAACAATTTGGATCAAAATTAAGTTATAATTATTTTTTATGAACTTCGAATGGATCACATCAATGTAAAATTTGTTCATTCTGAACTTATGGAGTTAAAATAAAAGTTCAAATGGAGTGATTAGTTCAAACACAGTTTGAATCGGTGTGGTTATAAGAATTTTTCACTATACCTTGTCATACACATTGCACACAGATGTGATACATAATATTTAAAATCAAATTACCAGTTCAAAATAAGCCTAAATTAGAGAATACAAAAAGACTATTGTTTGGCCTACAATTCTTACACTAGATT